ACATACCATTATATACTATATATATATATATATATATATATATATATATTATAAGACGACGACACACTATATATATATATATATATATATATATATAGACACACACACACACTCATATATATATATATATATATATATATATACGCTCTATTTACTCACTACTTCCTTGTGATTACTAAGTATTTAAAAAAAAATTACCATTCAGAATTTCAGACACATGACGATGTGTGCTGAACTGCTGATTCTGAAATTGCTGAATAATGCTGAATAATACTGATTGCTGGCTTCTGCCCTTCTACTCCGAATTCCGCCTTCACAATTTCAAAGAGTCTTGACTCTTGAGTCTTCACTGACTTCACACTTCGCAGTTCACAGTTTCACACTCTCACTCTCACAGACTTCACACAAGAAAAGTGTTTCACAGTCATTTGAAGTTGACACTATTATTTTAGTAGTTCTGTTTACAAACGCAGAGTCGCAGACGTCGTACATACACGAGCAGTTGAGCACACGAGACATAAACTCCCGTTCATGAATCTCGAATGCTTTGGCCTCTCAGGGCTCAAGCCCCTACACACTAGTAGTAGTAGGCTAGTAGTAGGTAGCCCCTTCCTCCTCTCGCAGTCCATACTCTATAGTCCATAGTCCATAGTCCATACTCATAGACCACACTCCACACTCCACACTCCACAGTCCTACACTACAGTCTACTCTCTAGAGTATAGAGTAGTCTACACAGCCCTCAGCACCTCACTAACAGCCCTCTCTAAATAGTATATACTACTCTCTAGAGTAGTAGTAGGGTTTATTAGTTATTACTCGAGCGACAGTGATACAGACAGCACAGGCTCAGATTCACAGTGGCACCTGGGGGCTGTCGGGCTGGGCCTGGGAGTATGGTTATTGGTTCCCTCAAACCGTTTTACGTTAAAACCTTTATAAACGGTCAACTTTTATTTCATATGCGGTCCTTTGTATGCTCATAGGTGCAATTTGCTGGTCTAAACACCTAAGTGTGTACCAAGTTTACGATACGAACTAGTTCTATAAATGTATTTAGGTATAACCTTTATAACGTCTTAAAATTGAATAAATATGCGTTTACGTTCAACTTCTATCCGAGCTTAGACGGGGCGGGCCAGCGGAAGGCGGCGGGCGGGCGGGCGGGCTGGTGCCTGGTAGCCTGGTACTACATAGAGTTGGCAGTTTGCCGTTTGGCACAGTCCCGCCGCCCGAGACACAGAGGCCAGAGCCGCTGTAGACTCACTCGGGGAGTTGTAATTATTTACGAGTAGTTTGTGTGAGATTTCGCATTTTTCAATTTCTGACTATGTATATATAAAACTTTAAAAAAAACCCCCCATAAAAAATCAAACTGTATATCAAACTTAAAAAAAATGTAAAAAAAACTGTACTGTAATAAATATTTAGTTGTTTGTTTTTTGTTTTTAAAAAACAAACAGGGATATAAATATAATATATATGTATATATATATATATATATATATAAAATTGAGTACATATATTTTATGTATTTATGTATGTATGTATTTAGTAAAAAACGGTTTGATTTTGATTTTGATTTTGATTTGTTTTTAAACCAACAAACCTTTCGTGCAATACTGTGACCCTATTTAAAAATAAATAAAAAGTAAAAATAAACAACACAATACAACAAAACGAGCCAAATACAAAGTCTGTGAAATGAAAAAAGCAAAACAAAACAAAATATTATATAAAAATAAAATGTCACGTAATTGTATTTTAGCCTCTTTTGTTCAATATAGAAGGCTATGCCTATATAGGGAAAATTATGTAAAACGGGCATAAAATATCCAACAGTTTCAGCCCGATGCCCTACTGTTTGTATTTTTTGTTTCTTTTTACTACTAAAACAATTTTTGTTTCTGTTTTTACACAAAAAGAAAAAGGAACTGACGAGTGACGAGAGCTGACGACAAATATCTACCCCTAGTAGCGGAAGTTGGGATCCTTTGAAAAGTTCGGGACAGACGGACTTTAGAAATTGGGCTGCAGGAATCAGGAGTGGGCGACTGGCCGAGTGGCCGCCTGGCGCCTGCCTCCTCTGGGCGGCGACTATTTATATATTTGTGGTTTTTTTCAAGTTTATTTTCTGGCACGAGTCTGGGCTCTGGAGTTCTGGACTCTGGAGCATGGAGTAGAAAATACATTTGACTTTTTTTGATTGTGCCGTGTGGACTCACTGGACGTGGACTGACTCACATCTCACTGGACTATAGTGTGGAGTGTAAACTGTGGACTGTGGAGTGTGGACTCTATAAAAACCATAAAACCTCTGTGATTGTAAATCAAGGCTTTAAAATGAGGGAGCTTTGATCTGGGTTCGATCGGTCAAGTATCTCCAGAGATATGGCCGATAAGGCGCAAGATTTGGGGTGCGACAAATTTCGAGTTGTAGCTATGTAGTGCGCTTGCTCTTACCAAATACACCATTCTGAGTTTAGAAACATGATTAGAATAGTCATTTTAGTACATATGATCAGTATAATAGGTGGTAAGGACAGTGTAAAACGTGACAATGGTCATCGATCAATGAATGGACAACAGTCACCACTCGTCAGTCATCTGTTATCGGTCATCGATCAATAATCATACTTTTATGGTTTATGTACGTGCTTGATATGTGTTCGTGTGTTTGTATATGTATAAATACATCTAGAGTAAGAATGAACTCGATTCGATACCACATATATACTTGCATAATACTTCTATGGTATATGTGCATGCATTTTTGTTGTACTAGATATTATGCACACACACACACACACATATATATATATATATATATATATATATATATGTTAAAATGTATGTCTGTGCTTGTACATGTACATATACTTGTAGTGCATGCACATGCAAAAGTACATATATTTGTATGTGTATGTGTAATGAGTGCCTGTTTGATATATAACTAATATATATATATATATATATATATAGGAATTATATGTATCTATTGTAATGTACACCAAGATTTAGATATAATCTACGTCTACAATATATATATATATATGGCTTGTTGGCTTACATGTGCATGAACAGCATGTAAATATACATGTTTATCTGTATGTATATGTGTATTGTGTGTGTGTGTACAGTATGTGTATGCGTTCGTGTGTTTGAATATATATATTGGTGCATATATATATATATATATATATATATATACTACTAGTAGTAAGTAGTAGAAATAATATATATACTACTACTATATATATATATATATATATATATATATATATATATGTATATATATATATATATATGTATATATTTATATATATATGTATTCATATACGACCGCCGGAGGATTAATAGTTTCATAACAATAATAAGATTAGATCTCAATGAAGTAAAATGCACATATGTACAAGTACAAATATATTTGCTTGTTTATTAGAAGTGCCATTTGCTTTCTTGTTGTTGCTTCTAAAAGTCGGCATAATGATTGAGCTATATAAATTTGACGCACCAAAATACTTCATTATCTGTGCGAAGGCCTCTGTGATTTCGAATATCCAACTGCACAGGACGCTGGGAGGAATGCTGTTGGCATTGAAATATGGCACTAATTAGTATGATTTTGTTTTAATAGAAAACAACACAAAAAAACAACAAATTCGGGTTTTTTATTTAAAAAAACAAAAACAAATAGCAGAGCAGTGTGAGCCCCGAGCCCTGAGCCTCAGAGGGCTGAGACTCCGATGAGAGCCTGAGTCCTGAGTCCTGAGTCCTTAAAGACGGCTAGTAGTAGGGCTATTTATGGCTGTTATTTCAAAACTTCAGAAGGCTCGAAACTTCGAAAGGTGTTTTGTTTTTGTTAAAAAAAAATGATGTTTTTATTATTATAGAAAACCCTCCTATTTACAGATTTACAGTACTAGCTACTACCTATATATATCCTAGAGGCTTGTCTATCCTACCCATCCGCCAATTGGGCGGGTCTTCGCACAGCGGATTTTGCCTCTTAGATGCTTCATGCTAGAGTAGTCGATTGTTTTCCATAGCCAATCACATTTTAGAAAAAAATATATTCAAAAACCCTCAGCGGTCCCGTGTCCATAAAATGAAACCCTTATGCCCTGTGGATGAGGCCCAACAAGGATGAGACGGCAGCCCAATTGGGCGAGTACAATAGAGTGTCAGGACTCAGGACAGTGTCACAGACCACAGTGCGTCACCAATCCATTTTTATTTTTTCATCCAGGGATAGTTTCAAGAGAGAGGGCCAGGCATTTTTAATATTTATACAATAAATATAGGTTTGTTTAAGACTGTGGCCACAAGCCTGACTTTTGGTCTTGAGACTACTATTTCTGACGCACAAGTCTGACGCGTTCAAAATTGCGACTTTCAATTTGTGACTACTTACGTCTGACACTAATAAGTGTGCGACCGCTATACTTAACGCTTACGCGTGCGACCCGTCTTAAGTCTGACGCTTAACCTTGCGATTTTTAAGTCTGACGCCCAGCCGACGCTTAAACTTGCGAGCCTAGGGTTTGAGGGATCTAGAGATATAAACATATATACATATATACAAATATACGTATATACATATATACATGTATACATATATACATATATACATATATACATATATTCATATATACATACATACATACATTCATATATGCATACATATATAAATCCATA